GAGTGAGAGAGAGAGAGAGAGAGAGAGAGAGAGAGAGAGAGAGAGAGAGAGAGAGAGAGAGAGAGGGAGGGAGGGAGGTAGGTATGTAGGCATTCGTCGGTAAGGTCTGCGTCTGCGGCATGGTCGATGCTCCTTTTTCCGGCTGAGACCGGCGTCCATCTTCCCCGTTCGTCACAGCACGGTGCGCGTCTTCCACGTCGTCCTCGCCTTGCCAGGGAAAGTCGGCGCCATCGTGAGAGAAGCGCGAGCCCAGGGTTGCCGAGGCTTCCGCAGGAGCACACGACGAGAGCACGTGAGTAGGATATATCGCCGGTGGCCAAATAAGAGACGGCCGACCGGGAATCGCGCTGAGCGTGAGGCGGCAGGCAGGAGAGAAAAAGGCGGGCGCGCGCCGTTCCTGTCGCGTTCCGCGCTGCCGCTGCGGGGGCGGGGTTCGGGGGTAAGGGATTAAGTAGCGCGAAATAACGAAGCTACGGGTTCGTGCGGTGCTGGGGTGTCCGATTGACGCGGTGGAGCCTCGCGTTTACGTTGAGCTTGCTTTTAGGGAAAGGACGCAGAGCACCAGGGACGATGGCGGACGCACCTCTACCGTCACGAGGCTCCGGGTTTCGGGGACGTGGCGGACCCAGCAGCAGCGGTCCGATGCGCGGACGCAGCGGCTTCGAGCGCGGAAGGTAAGTCATGTCATGAAAGCCAAGCACGCTTCTTCTCTCTCTCTCTCTCTCTCTCTCTCTCTCTCTCTCTCTCCACTCTCTCTCTCCACTCTCTTTCACTTTCTCTCGTCCCTAGCTTTCCCCTCGTCATTCCTCGAATCATTCCCTCGAGTTTCATCTCTAGGCCGCGAACGCTGCTCTCCTCTCTGCCGACCCCACCTCTCCACCCCTCCTGACTTTGTTATTGATTCATTTTTCCGAATGCGCCACTTAGGAAGAACGTAGCGTCGCCTTTTCCATAAGCTTCCTTATAATATTAATTGCCAGGATAGTATTGCTACTACAGAGTAACAGTCGATCATTATTTTCGTAAGTAAGGAGAAAAAGTACGCGTCTGCATGTGCGTCCTGATATGCATGCATGCGCGTGCATATGCATATATATATATGCACGCGCGAGAGCGCGTGTGCGTGTGTGTGCAGAAACGCAAAGCATGCATGTATACCCACATTTATATATAGAATGGGGAAGAGGGTTAGAGAGTGAGTGAGAGAGAGAGAGAGAGAGAGAGCGGGTGTGTGTGTGTGTGTGTGTGTGTGTCGTTGTGTGTGGAAAGGAGGGAAGAGAACAAGAAGAAAGCGCGTTCGTGAAGGGATGGGAAGGAAAGGAAAACAGTATTAGGCAAACATCTCGAGATGTTACACGGCAATTTCATTTCTAAAATTATCTGATAAAAATCGATCATTTGTACATAATAATCTGTATATAAGCTTTGCACGTTCGTTAATTCATATATTTAAATACACACTTTGATTTTGTCTTCAACTAGGTAAAGAATATTGATTTTTATATTTTTAAACGTACTCATTTAAATATCGTAACATTTATATCATTTAATGTATAATCTATGAATTTAAAAATGTCTATTATCTCGTGTATTTTATTATATAAATAATTGTTTGTGGAAATATAAGATTGTAATACTGTGCCTATTACGTATATTCACAATATTCTGTATATATATATATTGTATGCGCGCGCGTGTGCGCATGTTTATATATGTGTGCGTATGGTAATTATCTGTAGAGCTTCTGTTTAAAAAATTAAAAATCATTTATTTAGACGACAGCTTTTCATTACATTTCCAAGATTTCTTTTCGATAAATAATAAAATACTTTTGTCATTATGTTAAAAAACTTTATTAATTTTTTTTTACTAAACTCTGCATTAATTATGAACATAATGATTCAACTATCTACGAAAGCAATTTCACATAAAAATGTAATTTATTTTAATAAAATAATTGATCGAAATTCATTTTAAATTTTTACTGATTAATAAGAAATGTATATAAAAATATGGATGGAGTCATAAATAGAAAACGTATTGTCATTTCAGAGGAGGCCCACCAAGAGGCATGATGCGTGGTCGTGGAGGACCTGGTGGAATGCGAGGAGGACCACCTGGCATGAGAGGCCGGGGGGGCCCACCAAGTAGAGGACGCGGTGGACATTTCTCCTCTGGGTATGTTCGTAAATGCCCATTTTATCTTATATAATATATCTTTTATTGAAACTCAGTTGTTACAATTTATATATTTATATAAATACTCTTTTATAAATATTTACGATGACAAAAATAATTTCACTTTTATCTATTGAATGAACTTAGCATTTAATTGGAAATGGCAAATTACAACTACTTAAAGAAATTAAATTTCATTTCCTTAAATATTAATAATATGTTATTTAATCGCCTTAACAGAGGACCACCAGATTCATCGAGCAGTGGAGGTGGTGGTCTAGGAGGATCGTCGAGGGGAAGAGGAGGATCAGGAGGCTTCAGAGGTAGAGCTCGTGGAGATTTCAACCGTGCTGGAGGAAGTAGTAGCTTCAGAGGTCGTGGGGGACCTGGAGGTGACAGAGGTCGAGGTGGAAGGTAAATATTTTAGTATTTTATTATTTTTAATAAAATCAATTACATAATAAAGATTGTATACGCTTTAGATGTGGTAAAAAAATTCTATCTATCATATCTATCGTTTTATAAATAATTCTTCTTATCTTAAAATGTTGAAATGGTTGTTAAGATTATTATAATAGTTGTATTTAATCTTTCCTTTTCAAATGCTTTATATTGAGTTCCGAATAACCAATAGTTTTCTGCTCTTGGCATGTTTTTCTTTTCTTTTCTTTTTTTTTCTTTTTAATTGAAAATATAAAACAATTATGAATATGTCTTGTAAAATGTCTTATTTTGTACTTTTAACGTTACTGTATTTTACTTTATTATGATAAATTTTTTCATAAGAAAAAATCATATTTATACTTTGTATTTTCAAAACTAGTTATAATGAAATTTAATTAATTTTACAAACTAATGTCTTACGTATTAAAAGTAAAAAGTAAGGTTATGTGATAATTATGTTAATTTACATTAAATCTATAAGTTATTGTTCATAAAGTAATTTATATATTCATGTATTGATAAACAGGCGAATCGACTTGCACAAAAAAAAATCCATTACAGTTAAAATCTAATGAGAAACTAATTAATTATATGTTGTGCATGCTCAAGATAACTTAATGTTATCTTGTAAAATATAAAGAACTAATGTTATATAGTAGTTTGAAGAAAAAAATTGATAAAAAATCATAAAGATTATGGTAATTATTACGATAATCATCATTATCGCGTGTTAAAATAATTACATAAAACAAAAGTTATTACATGAAGCCTACATTTAGTCGAATTGGTATACGTATTGTTGAAGGGGCGGTGGACCACGTGGTGGACCAGGTAGTGGTCGCGGCGGCTTTGATCGAGGTGGTCGTGGTAGTTCCGGCGGAGCCGGTGGTCGGGGCGGACCGCAAAAACGCGGTGGAGGACCACCAGGAGCCAGTGGCCCACCCAAGAGGCCAAGGTTCGATGCACCCCCAGCACCACCAGCTAACGGTTACGTGACGCAAGCACCGGCACCGGGGTACGGAAGTGCGGGTAATGGCTACTCTGCTGCAGCACCACCGACAAGTGGATATGGTGGAGGTTATCCTCAGCAAGGCTATGCCCAAGGATACCAAGGCTACGAAAGCTATCAACAGCCACCCGATTATGCACAGTCAGCGGTAAGATGAAATTCATTATATTGGTTAAGAAATGAGGAGGGCAATATTTATCTCAGACGCTTCATTTACATTATTGAATATGATAGGATAAACTTTGGATTGTTAGTGGCGATATTGCACGCTCAGGATTAGTTCTGATATTGTCATTTGAAAAACTTGGTGAAACACTTTATTTGCTTGAATTTGAGGAATAGCCTATGCAGTCTTGAATTACTTTCTTATTTTTTACTCTTGGCTTTAATTAGTTCATGTCCAATACATTATCTTCTCTATTTCAAAAATAATCGTTCAATATTTGTTTGATTATGCAGCTTGGTTATATTAACCATCTAGTACATCTATCGTATAATCATCTAGTATCTCTATCATAATCATCTAGTTTTAAATATATAGAGAATATAAGCGTAGTTCTACCTTAATGGTAAAATCATTTGTAACTTTTTATTTTAATAATTACTGTCATTCTGTAGTTACAAATTAAATGAAGCTTATCGTTAATAATATAAGTAAGATTGAATTTAGGAAATACGTGGCGTAATCTTAAATTGTTTTGTTACAAAATAGTAATCAATATATTTACTTCTTTGTAGGCAATGAAATGAATATTATACACATAATTCTTACGCATATCTATTAATATTTTTATTTTTTAGAAAAATATTTGCGTATTCGTGTATTTAAGATAAGTTTGATTAAATTTTATAAGCTGACAAAAGAAATATTTAAATTTCCAGGGGTACGCGACGGCTGCGCCACCAGACAGTAGATATGGGGCACCACCAGTTGCTGGCTCTGGTTATGCAGATCCTTATGGCTACAAAGCACCAGCTGCAGGTAATTCATTGTAAAAATTGCAAACATTGACTTTCCCTTCGACAAGAGGCTTTCCATCTTTTGATTCAATGAATTTGACAGTACATATACATCGTATTAGTTTAAACTACTATATGACGTAACGTGCAAATTTCTATAAATACATTATTTTAATATAAAATAAAGATATAATTTCTACTATCACTAATATAACGTATTTAATTAATAAAATGAAGAATAAATTACACACATTAGTAGAAATTTTATAAGTACAAATAGTGTAATGGTTCTATTTATAATTTACGTTGTAGTGCATATATATATATATATATATATATATATATATATATACGTACATACGTGAAACGTGATATGTATTGTTTGTTGATTGAAAACAAAACATAATAAACATCTAAGAGATAGAAAATTTGTACTTACGAAAAAAATGCATATGCAGCTACTTATCAACAAGAGGCAGTGGACAGTGGATATTATAATTATTCTTCAGCTTATGACTATCAAGGCCAATCTGCTAATTACACTCCTATGAACTATGGAAGCAATTAATCGAATACGGCAGTTTCATGGTCAGTTTGTTCGCTGGATCACATTTTTGTATTTGTTTTTATTATTCTTGTGTCGTAAGTTTTCTATAAAAATAAATGTGACTTACAAAATCACAAATTGCAATATTGTTAGTTCAAAGTTTGTAATATTATAGCAAAGTTTGAAGATGCTTTTTGTTTGTTTTCGTTTTTCAGTACACATTTATGTGTTACATGGTTTAATGATTTTGATACACAAATTACTGCTGCACTACCTCTTGTTAATTCCTTTAGTTATTTACAAATTGTAATACCAATATCTCATTCACTTCAGATAAAAAAAAAATATTTTTTATTTTTTATTTTTTAAGTAAGAGTGTACTTAAAATTCTTTACAAATACTTATTTTTTTATAATTTTTTTTCTTATAAAATTCTAATTTTAATTTATATTAAAAAAAAAAGAAAAAAGAAAAAAAATCATTGTATGTTTAATATAAATTATGAATTATAATTTATTATTGCTGATTTTTGAAGTTGTTTGTCTAATATAAGATGACACATTTCAAAGATATTTCCAAATAATTTTATTGCGTTATATCCAGGTTTTGAATGTTCATTGGCTTAAATGAATTTATGTTTTACTTAATCTTCAAAGAACAAAAAGCACCTTTTTTATGCAAAGACTTGAACAAACAATATAAATCAGCAGAAATAATATTAAGAATTTAGATAATTTTTTCTATTTTTGTATATTCATTAATCGGTCTTTCATCATATTTACTTGGAAGATATTTCATTAATGAAAATTGATAAAAACATCGCAAGTACTCTCTTAACTTAGAAAATAATTGCTTAAATTGTTTAAAATTCTATCTGTATTGTCACAAATTTAGTCAGTCAAATTTTACTTTTTTACTTTATAGAGAGAATTTGAAAGGATTTAAATTTAATGTTTACTATTTTAATCCTTAGATTATGCGGGCCAAGAAGGTGTTTATGGAAAGCAGGACTACGGTAAGTACCGATATTGAAACGAAGAGAAAAAATATAACTTCGCGTCAATCAATACCCTCTGATTACTGTAGTGCGTAATTCTGTTTAGAATATGATACCTCTATTTACTTGCAAAAAAAAGCGTTAATTATATTAAATAACATATGCAGAATTGCTTACACAGTGTCAATTTACTTGGGACAGTCATAAAATAGGTCTGTGTTAGATGTATACAAAAGAAAGGTAGTTGTCTTATGGGAAAAAAAAAAAAAAAAAAAAAAAATAAAAGAAAAGAAAATAAAGAAAGAAAGTTATATAGACACGAAAGAAGAAAGTGAAATTGATAAGTTAAGATTAAATCCAGAATTCAATTCAACGAATGTTTACTGATTACTATCATAGAAATAGTCTGTATATTTATGTAGAGTCTCAAGTAAAATAAAAAGGCGAAATGTAAAGAAAAAATTTTTTATGATATACTATTATATTATAATCAATCACTTTGTAAAAAATAGGTGTAGTTTGAAAATTATATTTGACAACTTCCATTAAATTTTTATTAAGCAACGGACATAAAGATTTCATATTACTCTACTGCAATAATACACATATAAATACGTAATGATAACATGAAAAAAAAAAAAAAAAAAAAAAAAAAAAAAAAAAAAGAAAGAAAGAAAGAAAGAAAGTAAGAAAGTAAGAGAGAAAGAAAGTAAGAGAGAAAGAAAGTAAGAGAGAAAGAAATAAAGAAAGAAAGAAAGAAAGAAAGAAAATAAATAAAGATGCGTGTGAAAATGCTTGGACGGCAGTGAAATTGATTAGCTCTTTTATACATAATCTGTAACTACAATTTTTAAGAAATTACGTCGCCTTAGAATTATTGAGCGAGCAATCTTGAACATTTCTTTTAAGAATTTCAGATGAATTAATAGCTTAATTTATTATTGTGTATGCATACGAAAGCAGAGGTAAAAGTATCATTAAAACTTGTCAGTGTTATTTACAGAGTGACATCTCGATGCTTTTAGACACGAAAAAATCGATTATTCGTGAAATGAATTTCTCTTTTATACGCAAAAATAATCCATTGTCAAATATTGTTTCTCCTAGCGCGTGAGAAAGCTATTTTTGTTTGAGAATTTTTTATTTCATTTTATTTTGTTTTAACAAATAAAAATATTTTAAAGTAACAAACGAACTTGGTCTTCATGTACAAATAAAATACAAGGGATTTATTCAAACATTGTCACGTGCAAGTATTAAAAATCAAATATGTATTTTTGGTCAACATATAAATATGAAGTAGAAAATAAATAAAGCGTTTATATTTAAATAACGTTAAAGCTATCCTATTACTATACTTTTGATTAGGTTTAAGTTATGCTTAGTGTGCATTTGTTTATATAATTTCGAATATAGCAACTGTAACCTAACTGACTATTAAAACTACTTATGGAATTACATGAAAATACAAAATATATACATGAATTAGTTTCCTGATAATTCGACTCATTTATTTTTAAACGTATTAAATTTGTATATAAAGATCTATACAAATTTTTGTTTATAACTCGAAAAGTGAAAAAGTACCAAATAAAATTGTGATTAGGAAATTGTAATTACGATTGTTCACTACTAGAGTAATACGTTCTTACTGATATAAGAAAAAGTATTTTATTTGTAAAGAGTATGAAATATATAACTTGAAAAAACGAATTTTCATTGCGATACTGTTAACCCCTTTGCTGTGTAGATGGAAATGATAGATGAATAAGAAAGAATTAGATCATTTGTTTCATAAGTTTTGAATAAAAATTAGTACTTTTAATCGTTTAAAATTACTCGACTTAAAATTTCGAATCAAAAGCATTTATAATGTGTACTTACGTCATTTTCAATCTAAGGATCTAAGGATAACGCAGTTCATGACGTACTTACACGCCTTTTTAGTTAAGGGGTTAATTTCAATTTTTTTTTTTCTATATATATATATATATATATATGTATATATATATATATTTATACGTATACGCATATGTGTATGTATATGTGTATGTATATATTTTTTTATTTTATTAATTTTTTTTTTTTTCTTTTTTTTTTTTTTAATACTTTGCTTCGAATATTTTTCTCTTCTCATTTATAAAATAGCGTTTTGTGTATATCCAACATACACTATAATATGTTACATCGATAATGGATTTTTATTATTTAGTTACTATCAAGGCTTAATTATAACAACAGAGTTTTAGAACGAATTGAATTTGTACGAAAACATACGACCCGATAACCATTTTTAAAGAAAAGTGGACTCGATAAATTGTCTTTAATGTTCTTATTATACGATCACTTGTAGAGAAGATTAGGTACTTCAGAAAAATAATACTTTTGTATGACTGAATGATATATAAAGAAAGATTGTACAGAGTTGTTTTTGTTTCTTTTTTTACTTTTTCCGCTTTAAGAATAATCTTAATTCATTACAAAAAAAAAAAATAGATAAATAAAATAAATTGTCAAATGTTGTAGCTATAGTTTATTGATAAATATTAGATATTGTAAGTTATTAAATAAACTTCAATCACGAAGCAATTGAGAGAAAAGCATTAAAACTGAATGAAAAAATCCTTTGCATTTATTATTTCCTTTTATTTACGACCAATTCAATATAAATAATTCATCTTTTTATAAAATATAAGAATTGACTGAACTAATAGATTTTTCAATACTTTAAGCAAACTTGAATTAAATACAAATACAGGTAAATAAATCAAAACATATACTATCATAGTAATAACGTAGTAGTTACTTGTATTTAATTTGTGTGGTGGCCACTTAACTTGGAAATATATACAAAGTCAAATTGACAAAGAAATTGAATAATTGCCTTCAGGTTTAGGATATTTAGCTGAATGTATTTTATTAAAATTACTTCTAACGTGTCACTAAATAAATGCAAATATATATATATATATATATATATATATATTTACTTTTTAACAACAAATGTTATAAGGATGATATTAGGTAGGTGTATTATATTTAATTATATTATCCAATTAACAAACAATCGCAATGCAATTAACAACGCTAATAAGATATTTATGAAGTAATTAAAATCCAAAATTCAGTGGTCACTGCAAACGTAGTGTTTTAATAAATATATTGCTACTTTAAAAAAAAAAGAACTTGTTTTGTAAGTATAGAACAAATGCCATTATATATCATGAAAAAAGTAAGCTACAATTAAAATTGATGTATTGTTCATAAAATATATCTAGTTTATATTGCATATGCACAAAAAGCATAACAATTAAACCAGCAACTACTCGTAAGAAATATGCCAGCACATGCAAGTTAAAAAAACAAACAATATTAAGTTCCCAGAGATTTTGAACTTAACTGCAACGTAGGTATAAAAATTTCCTAATTAAAAATTCTGTTATTCAATTGTTATATACTTTATAATTTCTTTCCAATACAAAACCTTAAGACTCTGTTGGAATTTTTAGTTTTTTCTTTAACAACTTTTTTATGTTATGTGCTAGTTAACATTAAGACGAATTAAATCAAAAACAAAAAACTAAACTAAAGAATTTAATTAATATACAGTCATTTCACATGAATTCAGTTTATTTCACAGGCGGCAAGTTAAAATACTCTCAGGAATGAGATACAATGAAACATACCAGCAAGCGGATCCCATTGCAATAATAAATAAAGATATGGGAAAATTTAGCGCATCTAGAAAATTGCAAACAGCTAATAATAAGCTAAGCAGATTTAAAGAGAAAACAATAATGCAAATGAAAATGCCAGAAGTATAATGAAGGAACCTTTTAAAAACTATTCGTTTTCAATATAAATATAAAACAAAATACCATCAAAAGTGATTATCAATATTCTGAATTATTTAATTACTTATTAGTTACTAGCAAAAGTAGTACTTTAAATAATTATAAGCACCTTAATTTAATCAATATAACTATGTCGGAATATAAATTTTCATTTTTAAAAAAGGTTTCATTATTTGTTTTATGCAAAAGAAACGTAAACGAAAAGAATAATCAAAGAATGAGCATTAAAAGACTCAATGGAAACATAAATATTAAATACTTTGGTGTAACAATATAAAAAAACAACGGGCATTTATTTAACGCTTGAACGTGAAAAAATGTATATTAAATGCCAAAGTAAAACTTCATCTCAAGCGCTAAGTCAGTCGCAGGTGAGTAAACATAAAAAATTAAGTACTTTCATCTTTCTTTGTAAAATATTAAAGCGAAAAACACTTTGCTTTGCGGAATGAAATAAAGTAATAAATAAATACTTTATTACTTTACGAAACTTATATATATATATATATATATATATATATATATTATATATATATATATATATATATATATAAATAAATAAATACAATAAAAAAAAGAAACGCATTACTTGCACTGTTTTCATAGACACAAAAATCATAAAATAATCATGAATGACAGCCATCTGCTAGTGTGCGCTGCCAGTATTGTAGGTAGAATTTTTATAATTAGGCTTTAATAAGTGCAAACGAATTATTTAATTTTTTTTTCTTTTTTTTTTTATACAAATATCTATAAGATTTTTAACAATAAGTAAATAGTGTGTACGATAAAAACGTATTGAATTAATAGTTAGGACAGGTTTATAGATAAATAATTTAATATTACTGAAAGGTTATTAGGAGAGAGCTAACCAGACTATCGGATATAAAGCAAGAAAATATATATATATATATATATATATATATATATATATTTATATATGTGTGTGTGTGTGTAATAAACGCAACGTGACTAATGATGCGCAATTAAATAATAAACACAGAAATTAGGTTGCTAATTATCAAATAAATATCCTTATAGTCTGAGCTTTGTATTTTTGAAGAAAAAAAAAAGAAATAATTAGTACATTAAACTTTTAAAACTAATTTATTGACAAAGTAGGCAGATTTATTAATATTATCCATTCGAATTTTGTCCATTGTTAAGATAATAAAATAGAAAATCTTGATTTCTTTCTTAGGTTGACAAATTTCGCAAGATCATCGGATGACTGTCCATTGGACTAGTAATTGATGACTGTCAAGCTGTTGACCACATGACTGGCTGATCTTTTTGTTTCATTCGACGCTCATTGCAGTCGTGTGAGTGCATTTCGTCTCAACTACGATTTCAAGTAGAAATTTTTTCGAAAATTAATCGGAGTATGTACATTTATGCAAACTAACGAACAGTATTACAATGGAATATGTT